TTACACTCTCTATATGAGTTCCCCCCCCCCAATTTTATCCATGTATGAAATTACCTTTAAAGACAAAACATTAAAATTAAATATATTTTGTTATCTCCTTACACCACTTGGTCTTCAATCCCTTCTCCTCTTTTTCCTTTCTTAATTTTGCTTTTCTCTTACACATCTCTTTTCAAAAAGTGAGAATCATAATATTTTGATCATTAAATAAAGCAATGGATGAAGAAACGGTGGTGAAGAACCATCAAAAAAGTGAAATTGTGAGTTTTTTTTTATTTATTTGGTAGGTTTTTACTTCGTTTTTTTTGGACTGATGTTCGACTTTCGTTCGGTGGTTTGAAATCGAACAAAATAAAATAGTCTGGCATCACATTACCGAGCAAAAAATATAAGTCTGTTAACCAACTACAAAATAAAAGATACATTTTTGATAACCCCAAACCAAATTTTTTCAATTTGTTCGACTTCTCATTACCATGTATTTTTAGTTTTATTTTTTTTATATTTTTTATTTTTTTGCCTGGAAGAATTATACTTATACTCATTGCAACAACGCAAATACTACAATATTAATGGACTCTAGTCATGAATTCATTACAGACGAGGTTTGTTAAGTTTTTTTTATAAATATGATTTTTTCTTATTTTTAATTTGTACTGAGTTTTATTAATAATTTGACGTATAAATGTATTCATTATCTTTAGATTTTTCATAGTCGTGAAGCATTAATTAAATGGGTTTTTGACGTTGGAAAGAATACTGGATTTGTCATTGTTATAAAGATATCAGCTATGAGAGGCAATGATAGAAAACCAAGACTTACACTTGCTTGTAAATGAAGTAGTTACTATAGAGACAGCAGGAAGATCAAGGGGGAACGATTAAGGTTGACATGTTTTAAAAAGTGTGGATGTCTATTTCTATTTAGGGGAAAAAAATTATCTATAAATTACCAAGACGAATTGTGATAACATCTTTGATTGATAGATGCAAACAATGATAGATTTTATAGATGTGTGTTTGATTTATGAATTTTTTTATGGATGCTTCAAGGAAAAAGTAAATTTTTCAATATACAGTGACGGGGGCCTAGACAATTCTATTGTAGTTTGGCAATATGACACTAGAGTAATCACATTTGTATAACAATGTATCACTGAACATGCACTTCACAAGTGGTCCAAATTAATTTCTTGTTATCATCTAATTAGACGTCAACATAGTGCTGAGAAAAAAATATTGGCCGGTAACATGGCACTGGAGTAATTCAAATTAATTAACGTTGTATTATCAAACAAGCCCACCACAAATTAAAAAATCATTGTTTGGAAGAAAATGTCTCTGTAAATGTATAGCAACAAAATGCTGGAGAGATCTATTTTTTTCGACAGCATAACACCGGAATAATGTAAATTGTTTAGTACCGTGTTACCAAAATTAGTGATTTAAAGTGATGAAATAGTTAATTTAGGATTAGTTTTGGTAATATATTGGGGGTGTAATGAGAATTGCATTTTTTTTTAATAGTGTAATGAGATAGAGGGTGTAAAGAGGTTAAATAGTGGTGTAAGTAAAATCGCCCTATGAATTTATATCTCATTATTAAGTTCTAATTAAGATTTTTTAGACTTTCAAGTTCCATTAAATTTTTAATAATCAGAATTACCCTTCAAATAATGATTGTTCATCCTTTATGATTATCTATAAAGGAACATAATGATTTGATATTTATTTTGCTTTTCAAAAATTTAAAACATCAACTTCCAAATTGAATATATATATATATATATATATGTGTGTGTAAAAAAAAAAAAAACTAATTTTTTTAAAAAAAAAATTGAAAAAACTAAATTATTTTCTTATGCAAAACTAAAAAATTTATGTCTATAAAAGAGTATGATGATGAAACATTGATGTGCAAAAAATAAATAAAAAACACTTTAAAAATGAAAAAATTGGTAATATTCTCAGTTTTAAAACTGAAAAAAAATTGTTAATATTCTCGGTTTTATTGGATAGTTGAATCAAACCAATAAGTAAAAGGATAAAAACATTTAGTCTCATACTCTGTTTTTTTTATCAGTTATTGAAACAATTATCTGGAACATTGCTATGCAAAATTAATAATGTTCTTAATTTTAAAAATTGGAAGAAACTGATAACATTTTCAATTTTACTAAATAAGATTTATTAATTCAAAAAAATTTAAATAGGACTTAAACTATCATAAGATTTGTAAATAAGATTTTAGATAATTAACTTATTAAGGCTTGGTTTGGAATACCCAAAAAAATTCAAAAACTTAAAAAATTACTAAAAAAGTTATCAATATTCACCAAAAAAAATATAAAAAAATTAATTTTACACAAAATTATTTCATACAACTCTGACGTCCCTACAGACACAAAGCTACCTTTTTTGGAAAAATTGCACAGGCGTGTGCACAAACAACATGGTGTTGTTCGGCCCATGGGGGCCTATCATGGGTCCCGTTTTGATAATCTGAACCATTAATGTGTAGAACTCGTCGAGTACTATATGTCTGTAAAAAATCACGTTGATTGAATATTGCTAACTATATGATCAAATCAGTTTTGTATAAAAAATGGATGGTGTTATAGTTAACGGTTGAAAAAAAAACTAATATAATCAGATAGCTATCGATATCCAATCAATATGATTTTTTACAAGCATATAGTACTCGATAAGTTTTACACATTAAACGGTTCTGATTACCAAAACAGGACCAGTGGTGGGCCTCCACGGGTCGAACAATACCGTCCAATTCAATGCCCGAAAAGGAGGGAACCATTTCCTAGCCTATACTTTACACATGTCGTCCCTTAATCCATTCCACTATACAGCCTATTTTATCCCAATCTTCTCCTATACACTAATTTATACAATTTTTTATTACACATTTTTTCAAAAAAAATTAAAAAATTATCCCAAACAATCATATATTTTTTTCTCAATTTTTTAGTCTAAAAAATTAAAAAATACATTTATTTTAGACACTCCAAACAACCCCTAAATAAAATCCATGGAAATGAAAGCAGAGATGTCATTACATCCACGTGTTCCCTCATGAAAAGAGACTGCAGTTTCTTATCTTAAACCAACAAAAAGAAATGAAAGTAGAAAATTCAAGGATTTTCTCATCCACATACATAAACCAAAGAGAAAACTACTCATTGGTTATCAGATAAACGTATGCAAAAGGGGACGTGGCGTTTTGTGGTTTTGGTGGATTGTGGCAAAACAAAACCACCCATTGGTTATCAGACCAAAAGATATGGCTCTTATGTTGTGTTTAGCTAGAAAATTTAGAAACGGAGAGAAAAAAAAGTGTGCAAAATTAAATAAAATGTAAATATATTTTATATATATTTCACCTAATTTTTTTCTTTTCCTTTTTAAATTCCTCCTCAAATCTCCCAACAAATAATTACCAAATCTTCTCTTCCTCGGACTAGCTGAGTACGACATCTTACTTGCTGCGAGGTTTGATATGCGATCGGAATTCAAGGAAAGAATTAAGGGATGTGAACTCTTTCCTTTTCATTATTTTCCTTTGTTTTAAAAAATAAGAAATTAATGCAAAAAAATTGAAGGGTTAGAAGGTGCTGTGAAATAACTAAATAGTTTTATGTAAACCCAAGCTAATTTCAGCATTAAAGGAGACAAATCAATCAGGAAAGGAGCCATTAAGTGAAATTGAAGAAAGCAAATGATGTAAGAAACAATACATGTGATGGATGCAAAATTCATTAGATTTACTATAAAGCACAAGAAGTTAAACCCAACAAATAAGCAATCCTATAAATAAGGACATTTAAAAGGAAAAGAAAATAAAAGCCAAAAATTATATATATATATATATATATATGTATATAAGGCAGCTTCCAGGATTCCTGGTCTACATATAAAATATCTACCCTGTTTGTAGCCCAAAAGAATATCTACCAACTCACTTAAGCTAAATGTCCACAAAAGAAGCACTTAAAACTTATCTCAGATTAGGATAGGTGCAATTAGCATGGCAAGTGATTCAAAATATCAAGATGGGGGACTATCATCTAAGATATTCTCAATAGGTGTTTCATTTGTTGGAAATGGTTAATTTTTCCTCAAGTTTGGTCTATTTTTTAGGTGGGCCCCGAGTGTCGATTTACTCGGGTCAAAGTGGTAACGCGTTCTATGCCGCGTTGTGATTCACGTGGTATATTTGGTTGCTCAAAACCATTACCGATCTTTTAAATACAGTGAAGATTGTCCAACATCATTCACCAATTCAAATCCCGGGGAGAAATTAGGCTGTGTTTGGTTATGTTTTTGAAACGTAATTTCACACCTTGGTTTGAGTATTGTGTTTGGTTAGAATTTTTAAAAATTGATTTTACATCCACTTTTGAAAACATATCTACCTGGATATCCCCGATGTCCGGCCGGTTGATCGGAACAGTATTTGTTTGTTTTTTTTTTTTTTTTTTTTGGCACCTGTAATTTTTATATTTTAAATAAAAAATATTTTCAAAATTTTTTATGAGTTTTGAATAGAATTTGTGTTATGTGTTTGGTTATGAGTTGTAAGTTTTTTAGTCAAATATCATAACTCACATCAAAAATTTCAGACTCAATTCAATACTCTTTTTAAAACTCGTAATCAAACAAATTTTTCACATTCAAATCGTAATTTCAAAACTCATAAACTCAAAATACAACTTTATTTTTAAATTATAATTTTAAGACTCTATTAAACACTACATTACAATTTTATGAGCTAAACCAATCTTTTTACTGTCCCAAAAGCCCAGCTTGAGGTAAAATAACAACACTCACCAAATTACAAATTCTATGATGATTAATTTATCTTCCAGTAAATTAACAGATTATTCAATTCCCAAATTGAAAGTTAAATTTTTACATTTTTTATTTTCCATCCCTGTATTTGACAAGAATGCAATGACATGTAAACGCGTACAAAAGAAGAAAAGGTGAGCTGACGAATTTTGCACTTTTCACTTTAAGCTAGAGCCCACCAACATTATCTTCTTCAAAAAAATACTTTATATATACTAACACACTGCCTTCATCCATTCTCACATCATTCTTTATCTCTTCACAAAACCAAAAACAATACAACATGGCTTTGACACTCCGTTCTTCGACTTCTTTTATCAATTTAAAAGATACCAGAAGTTCCAAAACTCTTGATGACTTCTTCTCCGGCATGGTTTGTTTTGCACAAATCAGGCCATCATGCCGTCTCCGAGCAAAGAGTTCAATGCAAGAAGCTCAACTCTTACGTGAACGAAGCCTGAACTTGGAAGATAACAGAAATGACAAGTGGGAGAAGCTTCACATGCTATCGGATACTCATGGAAAAAATGATTCCAGGGTACCGGTGTTTGTGATGCTGCCACTCGACACCATATCATTTGGGGGAAACTTGAACAAGCCACGAGCAATGAATGCCAGTTTGATGGCCTTGAAAAGCGCAGGAGTTGAAGGGGTCATGGTTGATGCTTGGTGGGGATTGGTAGAAAAAGATGGGCCTTTGAAGTATAACTGGGAAGGGTATGCTGAGCTTGTAAACATGGTACAAAAGCATGGCTTGAAGCTCCAAGTTGTTATGTCCTTTCATCAGTGTGGTGGAAATGTTGGAGACTGTTGCAGGTATGACAGCATGCACTCTTTTTTTTCATATAATTTATTGTTGGAAAAAGATGGATGATTTTACTTACAGTGTTTGGTTGGGAATTTGAGAAGGAATTTGAAAAAAAACAAAAAAAACAAAAAAAAATACTTAATTTCACACATTTTTTCCTTTTTAATTCCAAATCTCCCAACCAAACACAGCATACGTTTTTTCCTTTCTATCTCTAAATCTCCCAACCAAATACAACATAAATTTTTCCCTTTCCATTTCCAAATCTCCCAATCAAACACAGCATAAGTTTTTCTCTTTCCATTTTCAAATCTCCCAACCAAACACAGCAAAAGGATCTTGAAGTGACTTTCCATCTCCAAATCTCCCAACCAAACAAAGTATAAATTTTTTCCTTTTCATTTCTAAATTTCTCGACCAAATACAACATAACTTTCAGGATTCCTCTCTTTTCCAAAGAGAATAGCCTTGTATTAAATCGTTATAACTTTCTCAGTCTTCAATTTTCTCTAATGGGTCAAGTCAGTTTCACCTTTCACCTCCACTTACATCTCCAGCATCTTCCTCCAAGGAAGAACCACTTTCAGCGGGGAGTAACCTAACTGAAATTTTCAATAACCTTTTTAACATTAGATTTTCTTTTCTGGATAAATTGCTTATAAATTTTTATCATTTCCAGAGAGAGTAATCCAGCTGTAAATTGTGATAACCTTTTTTTGTATTCAATTTTCAGTATTCCTCTACCCCCATGGGTGCTTGAAGAAATCAGCAAAAATCCAGACCTTGTGTATACAGACAGATCAGGCCGGAGAAATCCTGAATATATCTCCTTGGGCTGTGATTCATTACCAGTGCTTATGGGAAGAACGCCCATTCAGGTCTACTCTGATTACATGAGAAGCTTCAGTGAGAGATTCAAGGATTACCTAGGAGAGGTTATTGTGGTAAGGATTAATTTTCGTATCGCTTACCATGATGTTAATTTTGAAGGTGTCGAAACCAATTATAATAATGAACAATTGAAAATATATATATTATATTATTTTGCAAGAAATTCGAAAGCAACAACAATAAAATTCAGATCTACTCAAATCAGTATTAAAAAAAATAAAAAGAAAGAAAAGAAAATACATGGTTCTTGTGTCTTTGATTTGTTTTTCTTTTCTTTTAGTTATTTACTTGTTCATTCAAATTCAGTTCTTAATTCATTTATTCTTTTTATGGCCAAGTGACAGATCATTTTATTTTATTTTTTTTGGTGTCAAGTGATGGAAGACAAACAAACCCCAAAAACAGGGACCTAACCAACTAGGAAGCACATAAATTGGGATCTGACATTTCCCGCCACCCAAATATATAAAACACCAAAAAATGGAGATTCTGTTAAACAAATTTGAATGAAATCAAATAGCAGAAATCAACATCAAGCTCATTTTGGAAATATGATCCAACCAGTCGGCCCCATAAAACTAGACTCTTTATAGGTTTAATGGTCACTTGATTATACTTGATGTGGCTCGTAGAAGAAGAACCAGGTCTAACGAAGAAATACTCAAAAAGAAAGAAAAAGAAAGAAGTGATCATCAGATTTAATCAGTCACCTGGTGTTGGCACAGTAGAACCTACAAGGACTATGTGATTCAAATAGTGGACCACCAACTATCTTAGAACCAGGGTTAAAATATCCCATTTGGGAACACAGTTGTTTCGTTTTAATTTTCTAAATTTAATTTTTTAAAAATTGAATTTTTTGTTTTTAATGAATATTTTTAAAATTTTAAGTATTTTTTTATTTTTTTCATATGCACCTTGTCTAAAAAATAAAATATTTGTGAAAAAACATTTTACAAAATTAATAAATATACAAAAATACAAAAAAAAAAAAATACTAAATTTTTATATTTTTTTGTATTTTTGGTATTTAGTTAATTTTTTAAAGATTTTTTCACAAAAATTATACTTTTTAAGTATATTTATGTTAGGTCTGTATAAAAATTTCAAAAAATTGCTTAAAATATTAAAAAATTTAATAAAAATAAAAAAAATACGGACAACAAGAAAGTAAAATTTTCTAAAAAGTGTATTCAAAAAACTGGAAACAAACATGGTGATATTCTCCTTTCATTTTCATTTCCACAGATAAGGATATAACTTCTTTTAGCTTTAGAAACTCAAATTCTATTTCTATTGCAGGAAATTCAAGTTGGGATGGGCCCTTGTGGAGAGCTCAGATATCCATCCTATCCAGAAAGCAATGGAACTTGGAGGTTTCCTGGCATTGGAGAATTTCAGTGCTATGACAAGGTAACTCCTTGCAACTGCAAGTGCATTATTTCATCTATGATACCCCCCAAAATTGAATCATATTTTCACCCCTTTGTAGTATTTGTTTTTAATGAATTTTACTTACTAAAAAAATAAAATAAAAATGATGGCCTAGAGTTTAAAAATCATTACTGTGCGTTTTTTGTAGGCTAGGAACTAAAGCATCATCTAACTAAATATGTAATCATAGTATCATTAAGTCAATAAAACAATTCTTGTATGTAATTTTTTTCTAAACAAGCTACTTTCAAAACAGTACATGAGGGCTTCACTGCAAGCATCTGCAGAGGCAATTGGGAAGAAAGACTGGGGAACAAATGGGCCTCATGATTCCGGCCATTACAACCAATTCCCAGAAGATACCGCATTCTTCCACAGGGATGGAACTTGGAACAATGAGTATGGACAATTTTTCCTAGAATGGTATTCTGGGATGCTTCTAGAACACGGCGACAGAATCCTAGCAGCCGCAAAAGGAATATTCCAAGGAACCGGAGCAAAATTATCTGGAAAAGTAGCTGGGATTCATTGGCACTATAGAACTAGATCCCATGCAGCCGAACTAACTGCAGGATACTATAATACTAGGCATCGCGATGGTTACCAACCAATAGCACAGATGATGAGTAAACACGGAGTCGTACTGAACTTCACATGCATGGAAATGAGAGACAGGGAACAGCCAGAAAATGCAAACTGCTCACCAGAAGGGTTAGTTCAGCAAGTAAAGATGGCAACTAAAACTGCACGAACAGAACTTGCTGGAGAGAACGCATTGGAGAGGTATGATGCAGGTGCATATGCACAAGTTTTGGCCACAAGCAGATCAGATTCTGGAAATGGATTGTGTGCATTCACGTATTTAAGATTGAATAAGAGCTTGTTCGAAGCGGACAATTGGAGGCACTTAGTGGAATTTGTGAAGAACATGTCGGAAGGCGGTCGGAGCACAAGACTTCCAGAGAGCGACTCAAGCAGAACAAACCTTTACATTGGATTCTTAAAAGAGAACAATGTGAAGAAGACTAAGGAGGCTGCTCTTGTGTAAAGATATGTATGCATGTTCATGTATAATGATTAAAATACATACTATACCAGCAGAAGAAGAGAAGGGATTGAAGAACTCATATATTTAATTGGACAGACATAGCTAAGCTTTGGCTATGGTTCACAACAAAAATAGAATAAAATTGCATTTCTATCTTCAGATCCAGAAAGGAGAAAGCTTTAACATGCTGCTATCACTAAAATCTGCTTATGAAGTTGAAACGGGCTCACCTTTATGAGGGTGCTTTGCTGGCCCAAGGAAACTTCATCCATAGTGTTTTAAAAAAGATTTTTAATGAGTATTCTTTTTTTTTTTCTTTTTTTTTTTTTGGTGATGAGTAATTTTTAATGAGTTTTGTTCTTGATTACCATTTAATTAATGCTTTTTGCTATTTGTAATATTTGTCCGAATAAAGAGTGTTTGCAGATTTCAAGTTTTCTTTTCACTTCAGTGATAAAGTGATAAACACTGTCAATTTGCAAATACAAATGTTACATAAGCACAACTACACATGTTCCATTAGGAATCATGGCTAGTGGTATCAACCAACACCAAGATGTTGCAACCATGACCAGCATAACTACCTACATGAATCAACCCATTTCACAACATGCTTTACCCATTAGCTAACTAAGTTACCAACAGATATAAATAGTACTATTACATGCTCGGGTTCAAATCTACCTACAAGATCAAACACCGTCTTCAACAATCTCCCTCCTCTCCTCCCCACCGGAAAAGAGGTGCTCGTGGCCCAAAAAAGGTGAAAAAATGCAATAAGCAATACACAAATTGTCCATGGCATGCATAAATGTAAATTGGTAGCAGAAACCAGTGTCATCAAAATCATATGACACGTGATACATATCGTATTGTATGGAAAAAGATACGTATAGTGGACTCGTATCGTTGGTGACTTGAATCGTGAGATACGTTTCTATATTGTACAATTCCGTATCGTATCGTGATTTTTTTTTTTTTTTTTTTGTGAATAAGTCATAAAATAAAAATAAAACAAGAAAACTTACAAGAATACAAGGGATGTACCCCACGCCCTACCAAAGCTATACAAAACAAACCAACTAAAACATTTCTGCTAGCATATATCTAGCTAGCACAACAAAAACAAGCCTATCAATGTTATGTTTTCCATAGCAGCCACATACACCATGTTCAGTAGCATTATCGAGCCAGCAGATTGGCTTGCCTCCATAAACCATGTTCAGTAGCACATACAACAAGAAGCCTATCATTGTTATGTCTTCCATAGCAGCCACATACACCAATATACATGTGTGGGTGAGAAGTGTGGTTAGAGGTAGTCCGAGAAGATGGCGGGCACTTCAATGGCTTGGGATCACCGAAGGTGGAGAGGAGGAGGTCAAGGCAAGCTTGCAGAGGGAGAGGTTGGCAGTGATAGACCTTTGAACACTAATGTAAAGTATGAGAGGGTGTTTAAGCACGAGGCTCGGTTGTACTGTTGTTGTTGTTGTTTCGTTGCATATACAATACGTTATATAGGCCACAGGAGTATTGGAGTCCAAGAGAACTGTTGGACAGGTGGCTCGTTCTCCTCAACTCTGCCAGAAGTGATATAAGCCCTTCTACCGTCTGTGGCTTGCCGGCAGGCTGAGAGCAACGTTTCATAGCAGGCAGAAAGTAACGTTTCGTATATGCATCGGATGACATGAATGTAAGGTCATTGTTGCCTCTTCTCCAAGCCTGGTCGAGATGGAGTTGTCTTAGCAAGAAGACAACCATCTCGATGATCCCATGACCTCAGCCGCCAGTCCAGTATCCTCTGATGATTCCAAGCAGTAGTGCCTGGGTCCTGCTCCCAACCCAGGCATCCAAGTAGATAAATGGGCCAGGGCCTACCTTAGTGTTTAAGAGAGCCAAGGGCTCGCTTCCAAGTGACCAAGTAGGAGAATGGGCCGCGGGCTAATCTCAATGTTTAAGAGAGGGGCTCGCTTCTGAGCGATCAAGTAGGAGAATGGGCCGTAGGCCTATCTCAATGTTTAGGAGAGCCATTGTTTATCAATCCAAGTCCAAGTGAGCCGGGGGCTGATTGTATTGTTGTTTGGCTTTGGAGCGAGGTATGAAGGACCATGGGCCCTGCGGAGCCATGGTGCTGCTTGTTGCAGGGCTCTTCATATCTAGATATATTTGGGCATGTATATATGCTCCCGCTTAGGCTAAGCATATAGTTTTGGTTGCCTTAGCACATGGCGCCCATAGGGCTCGCCATGTATTAAACATACGACATGCCAGACGTGGTGCCTTATTCGTCTGCCACATAGGTGGGGTTTTGGTGATGTGGCACCTGTAGGGCTTGCCACGTATTGAGCTTGATACAAGTACCCAAAATAATGTGGGTGAGAAGTGTCGTTAGAGGTAGTCCGGGAAGATGGCGGGCACTTCAATGGCTTGGGATCACCGGAGGTGGAGAGGAGGAGGTCAAGGCAAGCTTGGAGAGGGAGAGGTTGGCAGTGATAGACCTTTGGACACTAATGTAAAGTATGAGAGGGTGTTTAAGCATGAGGCTCGGTTGTATTGTTGTTGTTGTTTCGCTGCATAGACGATACATTATATAGGCCACAGGAGTATTGGAGTCCAAGCGAACTGTTGGACAGGTGACTCGTTCTCCTCAACTCTGCCAGAAGCGATATAAGCCCTTCTGCCGTCTGTGACTTGCCGGCAGGCGGAGAGCAACGTTTCATGGCAGGCAGAAAGTAACGTTTCGTATATGCATCGGATGACATGAACGTAAGGTCATTGTTGCCTCTTCTCCAAGCCTGGTCGAGATGGAGTTGTCTTAGAAAGAAGACAACCATCTCGACGATCCCATGACCTCAGCCGCCAGTCCAGTAACCTCTGATGATCCCGAGCAGTAGTGTCTGGGTCCTACTCCCAACCCAGGCATCCAAGTAGATAAATGGGCCAGGGCCTACCTTAGTGTTTAAGAGAGGTAAGGGCTCACTTCCAAGTGACCAAGTAGGCGAATGGGCCGCGGGCTTATTTCAATGTTTAAGAAAGGGGCTCGCTTCTGAGCGATTAAGTAGGAGAATGGGCCGCAGGCCTATCTCAATGTTTAGGAGAGCCATTGTTTATCAATCCAAATCCAAGTGAGTCGGGGGCTGATTGTATTTTTGTTTGGCCTTGGAGCGAGGTATGAAGGACCATGGGCCCTGCGAGGCCATGGTGCTGCCTGTTGCAAGGCTCTTCATATCTAGATATATTTGGGCATGTATATATGCTCCCGCTTAGGCTAAGCATATAGTTTTTGTTGCCTAGGCACATGGCGCCCATAGGGCTCGCCATGTATCAAACATACGACATGCTAGACGTGGTGCCTTATTGGTCTGTCACGTAGGTGGGGTTTTGGTGATGTGGCACCTGTAGGGCTTGCCACGTATTGAGCTTGATACAAGTATCCACAATAATGCCCCCCTATACATGAGAGTATTTGTACATGACTATGTTAAAAAGTTTTGAAAAATATTAACTCATGCAGACAAGTATTCCGATAGAGTCGTCTAAAATTAGGCTTTTGATATAATGGGGGAATTTGGATTGCTCATGGAGAGTTTACATTTTAAATTTCATCCGGTGCGAGCTGGCCGAATAAAGATGTGGGCTTGTTAGGCGATGGCTTGATTCCGGGGAATTTCCACTACTTCACAGGAGATTTCGGCTTCGTTCCATAGGCACCAGATTCCGCCTCTCACCCTTTCCATGCCGCTAGGAGGGGGGGTAATGGTCTTGGTGTTAGGAAGCCCATGATTTGGCTCATGAACTGGGCCTCGCTTCCTTCTTTTTTTGTATTTGTGATGATGACAAGGTGGAAGCGTCTGCTAGAATGTAGGTGCATGTAGTGTTGGAGGAAGTTTGGGCGAGCGACGCCCTTAGTGTTGAAGAAGAGGATGTTAAGCGGAATGTTGTAGGGGATGTTTGGCTGAGCACTGCGGGAAACGCTCTCTTCTCCTATGTTGAGATCTGCAAAGCTCTCTATGTTCCACCCAAGTCCCAAATCTTCATTTGGGTTTTCCAATGGTGCTGACATGATGGAGATATGGTGGTCTAGATCTCTCTCTGTCGGCCTTTGCGAGAGGATGTTGATGCGGATCCTCTCGAAATGTGGGACTAACACCTGATTTGCCTGGCAGGTGGATCCCTAGAGAGTTAGGTTGATTTCTTGGTTTAGCAAAAACCAAGTATGGGACAGCGGTATTGTGTAAAGTTCTGGAATTGTTAGTGCCTTGTACCATCCTCTTATTTTACCCCGGAATTCTTCCGGCACCTCTACGACTGTATAAGCAGATATTGGGTGTTGGATCCAAGGGGATTCGAATAGCTGATCTTGGAATTGCCATGGAGGCATGGAGAGCATCTTTCGAAAGAATTCACACACAGGGCGACGGCGGTGAGTAGGAGTGGAGCTTGAAGCTCTAGAGTTGGAGCTTAAAGCTCTATAGCTTGGACCTCTAGGGTTTGGAGCCTTGTTCACCGGCCGCCAAACGGTGTTATCTTGGTGCCCCTCTCTTCAGGAAGCCATTTAGAGAGAATGGGTTGTTGAAGTTTGGCAAGTGAAATATGAATTTGCTTGCGTTTTTTTTTTGTTTTGTGCTGTTGTCCTGCATTTGTGCTCTTATAAAGACAGGGTTGCATCGGAAAAGGGGGGTGGACTTACTGACTTTTGCAACTTTTGTTGGGAAAGAGCGATCTATGGAGAGGACAACTCATCAATTGGAGTTATAGTTTTAGAGCAGACCATTAAAGGCTACTGATGGGAGCTGCCATGGTAGCGTGTAATAGCTTTTTGGAGAGTCTAAGGTTGTTGCAGTCTGGGTTTTTTTTTAACGTTTGTAACAGGCAAAGAGAATTTTTTGATTGGTTTAAGGATTTTCCTTGGGAATGTACAACCTTAGTATGCGTGTATACAAACTCTTTTTTTTATTATTTTTTATTTTTTATTTTATTTATTTTTTATTTTTTTTGAAGTTCGTTTGCTTAAATATTGCATTGTTGCCACGTAAAAGTTGTGTATATTCTGGGTATAACTTGAACTTGTTCGAACCATTCCAAAAGTGAGCTTGCCGTTTTATAGAAATAAGGACTCTTTATATATATAGATATATAGATATATATATATATTTTTTTTTTTTTTTGAATCAGGATCTCTGTTTGTTCCTTTTACCTATTGTACAGAAGGGTGTGTTATGGACTTGGTTACCCGTAGCTGGGTTTCTTATACCATTAAGGGAGGGGCTTGGCAAGTTTGTGTTGGGTAGACTTTTCAGTTCTCTTTCTAAAAACCTAGAATTCAACTTAGTGGGAAAGGCTAGAAAATCCAGAATACAGTTGGGAGAGGAAGGTTGACAGCTACGAAGGAGGAAAAGGGTTGCCGCCGACGAGCTCCAAAGTGAG